GCCAGGGAAGGTCAAAGATAGCTGACAGTCCTCAGAAGTTAGAAGACAGACTTTTTTTTTTTTTTTAAAGATTTATTCCTTTGAGACAGAGAGCGAGCATGAGCAGGGGGAGAGGCAGGAGGAGAGGGAGAAGCAGGCTCCCTGCTGAGCAAGGAGCCTGATGCAGGGCTGGATCGCAGGACCCTGGGATCATGACCTGAGCGGAACAAAGACAGACGCGTAACCATATGAGCCGCCCAGGCGCCCCGAAAGACTTAATTCTTGAGATAAAGTGTGGCCCTGCCAACAGCTTGGCTTCAGACGTCTCAACACCTCCGGAATTGTGGAACAACAATTCTTCAGGTTTTTTAACCAGCCAGTTGTGAGATTTGTACAGCAGCCCTAAGAAACTATCATGGATCCTGTCCTCTCTTCCCTTGTGGCTCTGTTACCCCAAGCTCCCAAACTCTTGTATTCTCCATTTATTCCCTGGCCCTCATTCTTACCCCACAGTATCACTCCACATCTTCAGGCCATGAATTTCCACCTAAAGTGGCAGTGCTTACTCCTTTCAGCGGCACACATTGTGAATATGGTCCTTGACGATATTATTAAACAATGTAATTAAACACCCTCCCGTAATTCTGGTTTGTTTCCATTTAGTTTATATTAAAGTTTTACCCAAATAAGGCCATATCACTTACTAGACAGTCCATTCTAGAGAAGGTAGGAATTACCTGTGTATTTCAGAGGTACTTTTTCCTACTCACCTATGTCTGTCTCCAGACTGTTTACAGATTCTCAAGCTTCAACATCAGCACCTCCCTGGGTCGCCAGCCTGCTGGCCTTCTTTGCAGACTTCCAACTTGGCAACTCTCAACAATCGTATTAGCAAATTCATTAAAGGAAATCTTCCACTCTGATTTCTATATATTATAAACCTGTATCTATTTCTCTATCTGTGGATCTATAGAAATATGGATAAAAAATATACATAGATATGTGCATGTCCGTTCTATTGATTCTTTGGAGAAAACTAATATAGATTTTAATTCCGCACATTTTCTTCATCCAACATCAGCCTGCTGAACTTAACACTAGTAACACTGTATATCTAATCTGACAGAACGTCCATACCATGTACTTCTTTGAAAAATTATTTTTGTATTATCACAAATACTAAAACAGAGGAGAAAGTTAAATGCCAAATTCCATTTGAAATCTTACGTGTGCGCGCACATACTTGTGTTTAATTAATATTTGAATTTATTTAGTCTTTGGTATTTGTCATTAATACTAGGTCTTCTTATGCAGGGATTTCTTATTTTGGTTCTTTTTAAACAGCTTTATTTGGATATAATTTACATGCCATATAATTTACCCACTGAATGTGTACAATTGACAGCTTTTTAACCAATTCACACATAGGTATAAGCAAACCATTGTCAAACATTTTACCACCACCTAAGAAACTTCATACTCTTTAGCTATCACCACTCTCATCTTAACCTCATACCTAATCTGCTTATTTAACTTTTTTCCAGTTTTCTTCAATATTACTGACATGTAAGTTTAAAAGTGTACAATTTAATGATTTATGTATATATTTTGCAAAACATTTACCACAGTTAACATCCGTTACCTCACAGTTACAATTCTCTGCATGTGTGACAATTTTTAAGAGCTACTCTTTAGCAACTTTCAAATAGGCAATATAGTATTGTTAATTATAGTCAGCATATATTCTAGATGTGCACCTCGTTATCTACTCATCTGACAACAGACACAAGTTATTTCCATGTCTTGCCTATTAGGAGTAATGCTGCTGCATGTTCTTTATTTTTCACATGGTTGTAATTTTTCTAGGTTCGTTCTTGCAACTGACTTCTAGTTTCATGCCACTGTCGTTGAAAAAGATGCTTGGTATGATTTCAATCAAACTTATTAAGACTTGTTTTGTGGCCCAATATATAATCCATACTGGAGAATGTTCCTTGTGCATGTGGTAAGAATATGTTTTTTGCTGTTGTTGGATGGAATGTTGTAAGTCCATCTGCTAAATGTCATTTAAGTCTGATGTTTCCTTATTGATTTTTTGTGCATTATTGAAGGTGCAGTATTGAAGTCTCCTACTATTGTATTGCTGTCTCTTTTTCTGTTCTTGTCTATTAATAGTTGCTTTATATATTTAGGTGCTTTGATGTTGGGTACGTTAAGTATTCCAAAAGTGACCCTTTTGCTGAATTGACTCCTTTATTTTATTTTTTTAGGGAAAGCAGGTTATATTTGAAAAACATAGACTACTACTATATTTATCGAACAAAACTAGTTTTTAGAAGTGACTCATATGCATCCAATCTTTGACCAAATCAACACAACAATGCAGTGCACAGAAGATTATATAGCTCAAAGCGCAAAAGGCAATACACAGAAGTAAATGTCTTCTTAATAAAGATGCTACGTAAATATACAAACCTACAGCTTCACTATAAGCAATTCGTAAGTACACATTAGCCAACTTTTGTGAACAGGAAATGAGTGTTTTGTATTTGGTAAATGCATATATAGTGTATGTATAAAACCTTTACTCACATGTAGTCTAAAAATCAAAGCAGAATGTAAGGTTTTCTTATGTGAAGATGTACATTTCAGAAACAACCCAACTTGAACTAAATCCACTACCAGAAGTATTGCAAAAGTGACCCATACAATGCCTACCATTTGCTTGTAAACAAAGAAAAGCTGCTCAGAAATAGTATCAGGACTCTTACTAAAGGGTATTATGATAACCCTCCTGAAAGGACAAGTTAGTTATTTGGGGGCTTTAAATAGCAGAGAACATTGTAAATTAAATAAAGTGTGAAAAAGTACGCAATGTGTAACAGCCAGAGGTTAGAAACCTGAGTACTGTGGAAAAGATTTATTAGCTTGTGCAAGTCAGTTTTAATAAACTACCAGCTACTTGTTACAGTAAATTACCAAGACTATCATTGCAATGGTACTTTTCCACACACATCCAAATCTGGAAGCAGTCAGTTTTTCTCAAATTGTCATTTAGTGTTTTTTCCCCAACCCTCAAAACACAGAAATAGGTTTTTGAATATCAACTAGCCATTTAGGGGACACATTGAGATACAGAGGTACATAAACAGTGTACAAACCAGAACGCTGGAAATCCTTTTTGCTATTCTGCAAAACATCACATAATTACAAACACTGCTGTGTCTTACTACAGTCTTTGGCTTAACGTCTATTTTGTCTGATGTAAGCATAACTACTCTGATTTCGTTTGGCTTCTTTTGCATGGAACAGCTCTTCCCACACCTGCACTTTCAGTCTGTGTGTGTTCTTAAGGCTGACGTGAGTCCCCTTGAAGGAAAATATACTTGGGTCTTCTGTTTCTTTCCATTCAGCCAGTCTATAACTTTTGATTGGAGAATTTAGTCCCTTTATATTTAAGGTAAGCATTGATACAGGTATGGAGTTACTGTTGTCATTCTTTACATTGTTTCCAGTCTGTTTTAGAATTATTTGCCCTTTCTTATTCATTTGCTCTGTATCTTTGTGATTTGATGATTTTCTATAGGGGTATACTTAAGATTCTTTTTTCCCTATCTACTGTGTATCTACTACAGGTTTTTGCTTTCTGGTTACCATGAGGCTTAAAAGAAGGCATCTTGTAGTGGCTGATTTTAAGTTTTTAACAGCTCAATGTCCATACTAAAACATTCTCAGGCCCGAGGTAACTCAAAAAATATGAATGCACAATTGTATGTCATTTTAGGGAAGAGTTACTTGTTCTCTTTCTGGTATCTGTGCTGATTTCCTCATTTCAACCACATCCACTGACAGTCTCATCTTACAACGATTGCTATTATGAAGGTACATAGTAGTTTACTGGACTGCCATCTCTTTTCCCTTAAAGGCCAATTAGTAAACCATTTTATTTATAATATCCAGGAAGTTTTTTTAGTTTTAATGAATGGGGAATGATATCCTGAACACCTATTTCATGGTAATTTACATTAATGTTATAACCAAGAACATCTCCATTTAGATTTTCCTCGTATACTGTGTATCATACTCTCATTCACCTTCCATGTAAAATTAGATATGCATAAAACCCACCTAAGGGCCTATTGCATCTTTGATGAAGCAACATTCAGCCACATAATTTCACACATCCACTAGGCATAAGTTAATTTTCTAGAGTGGCCTGAGAGTAGATATGCATTGGTATTTACTAGTCACAAATCTCACATAGGGTCAGTATAAAACAAAAGCACATACTGAAATTAATTGTACCTATGCAAAAATCCATCCCTTGTAAATCTTTTTTATTATTTTTCTTTTTTTTAAAGATTTTATTTATTTACTTATTTGACAGAGAGAGACACAGCCAGAGAGGGAACACAAGCAGGGGGAGTGGGAGAGGGAGAAGCAGGCTTCCCGCAGAGCAGGGAGCCCTATGCGGGGCTCGATTCCAGGACCCCGGGATCATGACCTGAACCGAAGGCAGACACTTAACGACCGAGCCACCCAGGCGCCCCCCTTGTAAATCTTTTGAAGCATATGAGCATATACGTCATCTATATGTTTAACTTTGTATTATTCCTTATAATTAAGTATTCTGATGTAGAGTACTGTCTAAACAGAGTAACTGATGCACTGCTTTCTATTGATTTCTGTGACATTTATTGACATTTGATGTTCAATTAAATACATTTCTAAATATTTATGTTTTTGAAGTTACTTTCCTTTCTGTACTCCCTAATGTTTTCTAAAGTGTATATTTAAGAAGGTCTTGGGCGCCTGGGTGGCTCAGTTGGTTAAGCGATTGCCTTCAGCTCAGGTCATGATCCCAGGGTCCTGGGATCGAGTCCTGCATCGGGCTCCAGTCCTGCATCGGGCTCCCTGCTCTGCAGGGAGCCTGCTTCTCCCTCTCCCGCTCCCGCTCCCCCTGCTTGTGTTCCCTCTCTCGCTGTGTCTCTCTCTGTCAAATAAATAAATAAAATCTTTAAAAAAAAAAAAAAGGTCTTTCCTCATTCATACGTTTGTAGGATTTGAATCTAGTGTGCATTTTGGGATACTGATTCAGGATTGAATTCCAGTTAAAGGCATTGCAACTTTTATACTTTACGGCTACTATCCTGTATGATAGCTATGATGTTGAGTATGTGCCTCTAGAGGTTTACCACATCCTCTACTTTTGTAATGTTTCTCATCCATAGGAACTCTCCGATGCTGAGTAAGGCTTATTAAGTACTGTAAGGGGCTTGCCACTTTCATCTTATTTGTAAAATGCTCTCCACAATACATTTTCTGATCAGGAATCATGGTTTACCATTGCTTAAAGTCCTTGCCACATTCTTTACATTTGTTAAGGTTTCTCTCTAGTATGTATTCTGTAATGATTAGTAAGGTGTGACTGCTGTTTAAAGGCCTTGCCACATGCTTTACATTTATAAGGTTTCTCTCCAGTATGAATTCTGTGATGTCGAGTAAGTTTTGAGTGCTGTTTAAAGGCTTTGCCACATTCTTCACATTTATAAGGTTTCTCTCCAGTATGAATTCTGTGATGGTAAGTAAGGCTTGAGTTGTGATTAAAGGCTCTGCCACATTCTTTACATTTGTAGGGTTTCTCTCCAGTATGAATTCTGTTATGACTAATAAGTTGTGAGTGCTGGATAAAGGCCTTGCCACATTCTTTACATTGGTAAGGTTTCTCTCCAGTATGAATTCTGTGATGCTGAGTAAGTGTAGAGTCATGTTTAAAGGCTTTGCCACATTCTTTACATTTATAAGGTTTCTCTCCAGTATGGATTCTGTTATGGTGAATAAGGCTTGAGTGCTGGTTAAAGGCTTTGCCACATTGTTTACATTGGTAAGGTTTCTCTCCAGTATGAATTATGTGATGTTGAGTAAGGTAAGAATGCCTATTAAAGGCCTTCCCACATTCCTCACATTTGTAAGGTTTCTCTCCAGTATGAATTCTGTGATGTCGAATAAGGTGTGAGTGCTGGCTAAAGGCCTTGCCACATTCTTTACATTTATATGGTTTCTCTCTAATATGAATTCTGTGATGACTAATAAGGTGTGAGCGCTGATTAAAGGCCTTGCCACATTCTTTACATTTGTAAGGTTTCTCTCCAGTATGGATTCTGTGATGCTGAGTAAGGCTTGAGTCATGGTTAAAGGCCTTGCCACATTCTTTACATTTATAAGGTTTCTCTCCAGTATGAATTCTGTGATGCTGAGTGAGGCCTGAGTGGTGGTTAAAGGCCTTGCCACATTCTTGACATTTGTAAGGTTTCTCTCCAGTATGGATTCTGTGATGACTAATAAGGTGTGAGCGCTGGATAAAGGCCTTGCCACATTCTTCACATTTGTAAGGTTTCTCTCCATTATGAATTCTGTGATGTTCAGTGAGGCTTGACTGCTGGTTAAAGGCCTTGCCACATTCTTCACATTTGTAAGGTTTCTCTCCAGTATGGATTCGCTTATGTCTATTTACTGATGAGCAGACCTTAAAGGTTTTACCACATTCTTCGCATCTGTACGGTTTCTCTCCAGTATGCATCCCCTGATGTTGAGGTAGTGCTGAGTGCCAGTTAAAGTCCTTGCCACATTCCTTAAAAATGAAACTTTTGTCTCCAGTATGGATTGTCTTAGGTATATTTAGTCTTGATGATTGACTAAACGTGTTCCCAGGTTTTTTACATCCAAATGGGTTTTTTCCCACATGAATTCTCTGATGGTCACCAACACTGGAGGACTGGTTAAGAGCATTCACGCATTTATTATAAGGATTCTCTCCCATATTCATACTCTTATGTATAATAAGGTTAGAGTTTTGATAGAAGACTTTCCCACATTTATTACATTCATAATGGTTTCCTGGAAAATGAGTCCTCAGATGTTTATCAACATTTGAGCTCTGCTTAAATGTTTCCTCAGATTCAATGCATTGAGCAATTCTGCCTCCACTGAAAATGCTCTGGTAATTCTGTAGGGTCGACTCCTTGGTGAAGCAGCTCTCACATGGATCCCACTTAGCACTTTGTTCTTCATTTTTCAATTTCTGATTTTCAGAAATATTTGACTGAACAGTCAATCCAATCCTTTTGTCAGAATGGTTCAAATAATTACTTTCAGCAGGGACTAGGTAACTTTCCAGATTTTCCAAACTTTCTTTCCCTAAATATGTATGTTTGAATACTTGATTTGAGATTTTACTTGCAGAATCACACTGGTTTTTGGAAACAGCTGACTTAAAAAGGGAGGTTTTCCAAAATGTTTTGTATCGTTCACCATTTTGGACAGTGAGATTCTTATTATGGGCAGCTGTCTGAGTCTGGATATGTCCTTCATGATATCTTTGATACCCTTCACTCTTCCCATCATTGTCCCGGTCTATTATTAAGTGTAAATCCTCAATGTCACTATTTTTGTGTCTACCCATTGACACTTTTTGGAAAGAAGCTTCTATGCTCGGCTTTGGCATGAAGCTCTGGATGTCATGTGAAGATATGGCTGAAAGATATCAAATAAGAGAAAAGTAAAATCATTCCACTTACTACTCTCAGATGAATATGCTGACAACTTCTAATATACAACCTGAAAATCAGTCAGAGAACATCAGCAAGATGGCTAGGAAGGAATCATCAGGACTTCATTCCTGCAAGGACACACAAACTTGCAAACATACTGACCACATAGCCTAATATACAGTTCTGTAGTCTTGTCATGCGGGAGCACACATCACTTTCCTATACCTCAAAAAATCAGGAAAAGTCCCATATGGGCCCAAAATTTGCAGATGGGAGGAAATTTAAACATACAACAGAAACGGACAAAATAGGAAATAGCAAAAATAGGAAAATATCAACAATTGGGAGAGTTGGTTTTCAGGAAAGATCAACAAAAATTAACAGACCTTTAACAAAATCAAGAAAGAATGAAAGAAGACCCTCGGTGGCTCAGTTGGTTAAGGATCTGCCTTCAGCTCAGGTCATGATCCCAGGGTCCTGGGATCGGGTCCCGCATGGGGCTCCCTGCTTAAGGGGGAGGCTGCTTCTCCCTCTTCCTCTGCCCCTCCCCCCTGCTTGTGCGCGCGCTCTCTCTCTCCAATAAATAAATAAAATCTTAAAAAAGAAAAAGAATGAAAGAAAACCAACTAAATCCGAAGTGAAGAAGTGAAAGCAGACAGTGTAACTGATACCACAGAAATACAAATAAGCAGTGACAATGGATAATTATATACCAAGAAATAGATACCAAAAATGTGTATAAATTTCAAAAAAGATGTAAGCTACCTGGCAGACCCCATCATGAAGAAATATTTAAAAATTCACAACTGATCTACAACTACTAATTAGATTGAAAAAGTAATTTAAAAACCCAACAAAGAAAAGTCTTGTGCCAGATGAATTCACTGGATAATTCAGAGATTTAATGAGAAAGTACTTCAGATCTCTTCCCACATTTTTAGAGAGTGAACAGAAGGGAGATTATCAAAACACTCTCTGTGACACCACCATTACTAGGTTATCAAAGACAAGGGAAGACACGACAAGCAGAGAAGGCTATAAACTACTACCTGTAGTCATCCAAAGTCCACAATAAAATAAAGCAAACTGAATCAAAAGCACATTTTACCATTTTACAACAAAATTAACAGGAAATTCTGCCTGGAATTTGAGGGTGTTTTAACATATGGAAAACTATAAATTTAAAACTCCACATTAACGAAGATCAAAAATGACCATCAAATTGATACAGAACAAGAGTATGAGCATACTGGACAACGTTTCATTATTAGAAATACTCAGTAAAGTATTTATACTTTATAGAAGGAAACCACCTCAACCTAATAAAGGCCATATATGTATGAAAAGCTGAAATCTAATATATTTAATAGTAAAAGACTGTAAGCTTCTCCTGTATGATCAGAAACAAGGTGATGAAAGGACTTTACCACTTTCAGTCAACGCAGTAAGGGATATTCTAGTCTGAACAAACAGGCAAGAAAAATACATAAATGGAATCCAAACTGGAAAAGAAAATGCAAATTTATCTGTTTACAGATGATATGATCTATACAAAACCCTAAGGAAACCTTATTTTTTTGGTATTTTGTTGGTCATCACTAGCATTATTTATTTTTACTAATTTTTTCAACTAGACACTCCATTTTCAATTTTTTTATGCTATAAATGCTTGAGTTAAGTTGCTTTTTTCAACTTTTTCTCCTTTTTTTTTTTTTCCTTAAAAGTAGGTTCCACACCTAGCATGGAGCCTAATCAGCTCACCCAGTCCTGAACCCAAGACCCTGAGATCAAGACCTAAGCTGAGATCAAGAGTCAGATGCTTAACTGACCGAGCCACCCAGGCACCCCAAACTTTGCTTCTTAACACTTTAAGACCAGGAACTAGAAAAAGAAGAAACTTAGCTGAAATTCAGTAGAGGAAGGAAATAACAAAGAAATATCAGAAATAAATAAACCACAGACTGTAATAAATAATAACATTGAAATTAATGCCCAGATTGTCCAAAAAATAATAAAAAATTTAACTGTATTAACTAAGAATAAAAGAGAAGTCTCAAAACTCAAAATGAGAAATGGAAGAGAAAAAAACACAACAGATAACTACAGAAATATACAGTGTGATAACAGATTGCTATCAACAATCACATACTAACAAATCAGGTGACTTAAAAAACCCGCAGATAATTCGTAAAAATACGTAAGTTACCAAGATTGAAATATGAATCTTAAACCCAAGAAATAGGAGATCTTCTCAAACCATTAGCAAGAATGAAAGTTGAATGTGGAATAAAAAAAACTCCCAACACAGAAAAGCCCAGGACTACATACCTTCATTGGTTAATTCTATCAAACTTAAAAAAAAAAAAAAGAAATTAATGACAATCTTCATCAAAATCTTACAAATAGTGGAATGGAGGGAAAGCATTCAAAATCATTTTATGAGGCCCAGCATTACCCTGGTACCAAAGCAGGATAAACATAATACAAGAACAAAAAAGTCTAGTTTACTCCATGTAGGTGCTGATACACCTACATGGCTTTCTGTTGATGGCCATTTGCATCAGAAATGTTTCTCCATCACAAGCATAGCTACCATCTGGCACAACGCTATTACAATACCACTCAGCATATCCCCTCTGCTGTATCCTTTATCCCCATGACCTCTTAATTCCATAACTGAAAGCCCGTACCTTCCATTCCCCTTTACCCAGTCTGCCCATCATCCCTCTCCGTTCCACTCCAGTAAGCAGCAGTTTGGTTTTCTGTTTTATAATGGGTCTGTTTCTGCTTTTTTTGTTGTTGTTTCTTACCGTGTATGACAATGTGGATAGACCTAGAAAGTATTGTGGTAATTGAGATACGTCAGGCAAAAAAGACAAATACCGTATGATTTCATTTATAGGCGCAATCTAATAAACAAATGAACAAATAAAAGCAGAAACAGACCCATAAATACCCATTTCATTTTGAATAAGGTCCATGAATAATTCCAAGAAGTATAAAAATTCCACATTCCACACATTGTATGATGGAACAAGTTTGCCTATAACAATTTTCCACTGATGGCAGGAGACAGGATTCCCAGACTCAAGTCCAGGGATCTTATGGCTCACGACACATCAAACAGCTTAAGCTTCTTGATCACACTAATTCCACTCGCCAGCTCCCCAGCCCCAGCTGACACAGGTAGATGCTGCACATGCAGTGGGTTTGTGTCCTATCTGTGAGACCCTGAGCACAGCAAACTCCAGTATCTTGAAGGAACATACAGGATACCTTCCTGAACTTTTGCCATAGAAGGAGACATCTCTGTTTTCCTCTACAGTAAACAAATCTGTCCTCTACCCAAGGGCAAGGTATTATCACTATATTCCAAAGCTTTTTAATACACGCACACCAGAGGAAAGACAATTAAGAATAAAAACTTTCAATACCTCTATCCTTAACACATGGAGAAACTTAAAAACCATACAATTCTCTCCCAACAATATCCACCACTCAGTTTGACCCCAGCTTGGCTCCTGCCTAATCTTCCCATATGTACACCATCTCATCAAACTCTAATTAATCTGACACAAGATCTGGGATAAAATCTACTCAATTTGGGTCACCTGGGTAGCTCAGTCGGTTATGTGTCTGACTCTTGATTTTGGCTCATGTCATGATCTCAGGGTCATAGGGTCAGGTCCTTCAACAGACTCCGTGCTCAGTGCGCATCATGAAGTCTGCTTGAGATTTCTCCCTCTCCCCATCCCACCCCCCCCCCCCGTCATGTGCTCACGCTCTCTCTGTAAAATAAATGAAAACTTTAAAAATTTTAAAAATCAGTTTACATCAGGAAACATTTTTCAAGACTGTAATTGGCAAGATACAATGCAGAAGAATTGGGTGAGCTATAGCATTCACTTCTGCACTGTCCCTGTGGGTCCAGGTAAACAAATCCCGGTACCAATGGTGGTCTCCATTAAATTTCTGTAATGAACTTCCTAAGGGAGATGTGTGAAGAACACCTCAACTGTGTGAAAGCATACAATTTACACGTATCTGATGAGAGGATTTTGTACACCTAACCAAGGCAAAGCAGGTCCTGCAAACAGCGGAATCATGGCTCATGACAATAATAGGTCTGAGAATTGGGAAACACATAGGAATTAGGGCAGCGGTGTTCACCACCCATCAACAGGGAATATTATAAAGAGCAACATAGACATAAAAGATGAAGGGGAGGGATGCCTGGGTGGCTCAGTCAGTTAAGCGACTGCCTTCGGCTCGGGTCATGATCGTGGGGTCCTGGGATCGAGTCCCGCATTGGGCTCCCTGCTCAGTGGGGAGCCTACTTCTCCCTCTCCCTCTGCCTGCCGCTCCCCCTGCTTGTTCTCTCTCTCTGACAAATAAATAAATAAAATCTTTAAAAAAAAAAGAAAAAGATGAAGGATTTTGTAAAATCCAACAGAGGTGGTCACAATGTCAAAAATACTTTGGTGGTGGGGCGCCTGGGAGGTTCAGTCGTTGGGCATCTGCCTTCGGCTCAGGTCATGATCTCAGGGTCCTGGGATCGAGCCCCGCATCGGGCTCCCTGCTCAGCGGGAAGCCTGCTTCTCCCTCTCCCACTCCCCCTGCTAGTGTTCCCCCTCTCGCTGTGTCTCTCTCTGTCAAATAAATAAAATCTTAAAAAAAAAAAAAAATACTTTTGGTGGCTCTGAACTTAGATGAAAATCCAGAGGAAATGTTGATCGTGTGACTACAGTTGACCTACTCTTTGTACCTTGAGTGGATGTAAATCACGGGACCACTGGGCTCACAACAAGATTTCAAGGAATAACAACAAATGCTACCTACAGCTAGTGTATGATTTTGAGAAGATATCCACAACAGTATCCAAGATATGTTTTTCTTCATGATCTTTTGCTGCTCATTTGGCAGTGACACACAGACGAAAATTTAAAAGTCAACG